TTATAAATGAATGCTATGATAATATATAGTTTATAAAAAAAATATACAGTCGTGGACCAGTGAAATGACGTGTCAATCCAACATGGCCAGTGCTATGCCTTTGGACAAGTCCATGCAAATGATACAATAATACTTTGATGTTTCCCTCCTGTTAATAAACTCCCCTAAAAAAAAAAATAAGAATGTTATACCTTCAATAAATACATATCCTTATTAGTCAGATGGATTGTCAATGTGATAAAATGACATTTGTCTCCTAAGTCTATCCTGTGGGGAATGCTCTCTCAAAGAGACCACATCTAAAACTATTTCACATCATGCATGTCCAAAGTCCCTGGGTTCCACGGTGACTTGACAATAACGCATTGATAATGTCAGACAGGCAGCAGGTCTCATATTCAGCAACTCTTTTCCTATCTCTTATCCTCTACGGGATCAAAGTCCCTATTTACCGTCATCATCAAATAAGGGGATGAACGCAATCGCCTTGTGCCAAAAAATGTCCTCTGAAATGAGGTTGGGGTCAGAGTTTAGGGCTGGGGGGGTTTAGAGGGTAGTTCCTATTTGGTAATAGTCATCAAAAACCTTCCTTTCAACGTACATACAGTAAGCTTAATCTGTGACATTAGATGGTTGCTCAGTCATCAAAAGAACAAGAAATAAGTCATTAAGAAAGAGTGACATGCTTCAGATAAAGTACAGCCACTTTTCACCACTTGGATAAACACAAGATATGCAAAATCAGTTTTAAACAAAGCATGTCCTCTCCTGTCGGTCTGTCCAACACAGTAGCTGCAATATGTATCGACCCTAAGTTGATATGTACAAAACAAATATATAGAAATAGCAACCCTTTTCTTTGTAGTTAATAATACGGAACTTTGCCTTTTAAAAATTCAACACATTTCAAAAACTTGGCACACTGAAATGCTAAACTGAAATCTCATGCAATAATGTACACCTAGTAGTTTTTCAATTCATGAACGTTTATGACAACTAATAAAAAGAGAAATCAAGAATCAAATACATCTTATTATATACTGAAATGCACCTGATTTCAAGTATAACAGGTTTCTTCCTCAATTTAAAATAAACGCTCTAACCCAACAAAACAAAAACGTAAATATATTATATCTATGATACACTTTTTTCTCTTTATCACTTCTTTTGTACAACTGTATTTTTTAAAAATGTTATATAATTAATCATATGGATCTTCTTGTTTACGGTCAAAGTTATTGCATTGTTTTTGCATATCTTGTGGAATGCAAGCACACACCCACTCACTCCTTACTATACCAACACACTCTGTTATCGTTTAACAAACAACATAGACTCCATCGCTGATATACCAACTCCTCACAGGGGATTGCACCAGCCTCTGGCATTCTCTCACAAACTCACAGCCACAAACCAACGGGTCTCAGGCCTCCCAATTCAAAGTCCTATGAAGTACCCTTGAAGTACTCTTGAAGTGCTGTATGTATATGAACATATGTATGGCACAGCTTTTTTTGGGGGGGGGAATGTATAGAAACAAAAGGAATCTATACTGTAGAAATAGGATGGTGGGTGGGTGGGTGAAAGTCTCTACTTAAAGTTCACAAGCTTTGCATTATTTTGGCGTGGGGTGTCATCGTTTCAAGTCAACATTCATCAGGCTATATGGCAGGTGTGAGCTTTCAGAGAGGAGCTTAGTTACCCTGCAGCTAGCTGTACCACATGGGGCCTTTAACAGGATGGTTAAGTCCTCTCACATTCCAACTAAGGAACGTTTAAGAGCCAAAACAGAACCTCAGAAAGACACTAAAATAGGATTTTAAATGGAAAGTTAAGAGCGTCAAAGGCCCATCAAAAGGACTATGTATGGTAGATTTGGATAGTGCTGCAACTAACAACATCTCTGGGATATGTAGTGAATGGGAATGACTGTCATCAACATGCTTTACTACAATCTGTACTGCAAGACTGACAGCCCAAATACCTCCTCAACCTTGATGTTCAAACCCATGATAAAGAAAATTGGATTTTGGACGGCGGAAAAGCATTGAAAATATATCCTTTATGAACGTTTCAAGCTTCACACGTGTGCACTGTACAGACGACGTAGTGACATCCTAGACAGTCCTTACTGTACCACAGAGTATCATACTGTATCATCAGGATAGATTGATCACACAACACTATCATTGACATCGATACGTTGAATACTTTTGAACATCATATTTGCATAATTCGGTTGGTAAAAATACATCTGTCACTCTGAGGCTGTTTTAAATGTGTGCATGCATACGGTCAGTCGCCACCACGAAGCAGAGACACCGAACAGAGACCTATAATAACATAATCATAATAATCATGTATGTATCCCTGTGAACTACAAAATAAAGTGTTTACTGAAGAAGGCTACTATGCCAATGTCCCTGCTATTACATGGTATTCCTTCTTTACGCACCGAACATTATCTTTGTCTCTTTGTCTTCGAGTCCCGTCTGGCTGCAGCCTGTGAGTTAGGGTCATTTATTCCGTCTATCGGCAATGATGTAATTGACACGAGTGTGGGAGCTACGTCATGTGCATCTTAATAGGCCTAGCAGGACACCCAAATGGTTTGAACGTTGTGAATTTGTTCGGGAAGGCCCATAGAGTTGGATAGAGGGCGCACTTGGGTCGTTTTAACATAGAGATGAGCTCTCTAGTACATCTCTATGGGAGTGCCTAACAAGGTGATATAACCGTCGTGATGTAGTAACCATCATGTCACAGCTCAGGTGTCGAAGGTCACAGAGCCCCTGTCTTATCCTGTGTCTGATTGGCCTATCCTGTTCTGTTCTTTGATTGGTCTATCCTGTCCTGCTCTCTGATTGGGCTATCCTGTCCTGTCCTCTGATTGGCTCCTTGATGAGATCTGATCAAAACCTCAGTAGTTCAATATTCAGAACAACAAACAACCATAAAATAATGAAAGCAGCAATAGGAGGAACGACACTAAGCTTTGGAAGCATGCCTGTCAAATGGTTTTCCGTTCAGGTGGCAGGGCGATAGATCAAAGTGAAACATGACACCATACTTAGTTAATGCTACCTTCATTTAACCGTTTAGGCATAATGTTGCTTTTTAGAAACAGCAATACATATTTCACCTCCAAATACAGCTTTTACCTCAGGGACAAAATCAATAAATAAATAAATACAATCTGTTTAAAAGATGCATACTGATAGGTACTCACCCTACTATGTGCTGCGCTGCACCCACACACACACACACATAGGTTTCAATACTTCTTAACTTCTTAAAATCTCCTAAAAAAATAAATCAAGCAAAATACACAGTTAGGGCCAGCATCCCGATTTGTGCAAAAAATAAGGATAAATAACATAATGAAAAAGAACAAAATAAGAAATCAAGTCTGGCCAGTTTTGCACAATACATGAAGTGGATCGGATTCTGATCTGTGTGCTGCGGTGATTCTAGTTACTTGGCACCGACACCTAGCCACAGAGAAGCAAGGCCATAGCTTACATCAGCCTCACACAGTTTCTTCTCCTCCTTTCTACTCATCCCCCCCAAAAAACATCATACAGCGACGATGGCAGGACGAACGGACCACTGAGGAGTTTCGAACTATAACCGATAAACGACTACAACCAAAACAATGCAGATTTAATGACTGAACTGAGAGAGAGAGAACGGAGGACGGGAGGTTGAGGTAACCATGGCAGCTAGGTGGCGCTGTCCCTGTTTAGGACCAGACGTTAGTCAACACTTCCTGTTTCCTGTTTGGAACAGGAAGTGGCTGCATGTGATGAGGAAGTGGCGGCATTATGACAGAGAGGGAGGTGAGTGAGTGGTGGAGGGAGGAAAGAGGGATGGAGGAGAGGAGGAGGGCGTAGGGTGTTGGTGGACAGCATGACAGCTGAGCATGACACAGATAAACAGATCCTGGAGGTCAGTGTCTCTCTGTGTTGCTCCCTGTTGTTGGCTCCTCCTTACAGATAAACAGATCCTGGATGTCAGTGTCTCTCTGTGTCACTTCCTGTCATTGGCTCCTCCTTACAGATCCTGGATGTCAGTGTCTCTCTGTGTCGCTCCCTGTCATTGGCTCCTCTGTACAGTCCAGTGTCTATGTTTAATGTCCATATAGAAATCCTGGGTGAGGGTCCGTCCCTTAAACACGTCTCCCTTGCTGGCAGATCCCTGTGTTGTTGGCCAGCAGAGTCCAGCGGCCTTACAGTAGGTGGCCCATCTCTGAAGGGCAACGCAGACACTGACGAATAAAAGGGGGAAATGGTTTTCCTCTGCTGCTCCTCCTGAGAAGGTCGTCTGATGCCCCTGACCTTTCAACCTAAACCTCTGACCCCTCAAGAGACTGACCTCAGCACGACCTCTAACCTCTAACTCCGCAGGGGCGGAATTTATTGTCCCAGAATGCATCTGCCTGGTGGCCACAGCGACGAAAACGACGCACTTGAAGAACGAATGGAAGGCAGAAAAAAACCCATGGAATCCAAACATTCAGTTCTTCCTCCTCTATTCTCCTGACTGCTGTCCTTTCCCTTTAGGCTTCCCCCCTCCTCCTCCTCCTCCTCCTCCACCATTCGTTCAAGGACGTGACTGTGAGGCACTTTTGAAACACCCAGAGACACACCACACACCTACACTGACACAGTCTCTCTCTCTCTCACACACACACACACACACACACACACACACACACACACACACACACACACACACACACACACACACACACACACACACACACACACACACACACACACACACACACACACACACACACACACACACACAGACACGAAAACCCAAATCAAACCCATCAAATAAAATAGCTTCCATAAAACTAAATAAATATGTTTAGAACTAATGGTCGGTGCCGTGGGCCGCCAATGTCAGGTCTCAACCGGCAGACAGAGAGAGAGAGAGATAGAGGGGGGTCCAGACCGAGGTCCCCTGTTGCTGCTGTGTGTGAGGGGCCAACCCTACAAACTGGTCACACACTCCATGTCCTCGTCCTCCAACAGGTCGCTGTTCCTCTGCCCCACCTCCACCACCACTTCCACATCCCCAGTGTGCTCTTCCTCCTCTCCCACCACCTCCAACCCCTCCTCATCCTCCGGATCCCCGTGCTGCCCTAGGTGAGTGGCCCCTAGTAGCTCCTCCATCTCCCCAGGGGCTGTGGCCCCCAGAACGGCCCCAGGCCCCTCGCTGAGGCTGAGGCCTGGCTCCTGGGAAGCGGCGTGGTCCCTGTTGCAGTGCATGTAGGGTAAAAGGTTGCCGTTGGGACTGGGCTGGCTGTTGCCGTTGAGGATGTTGTCGGCTGCGTTCTCCATCTCCTCGATGGTCATGTCGCACGCGTCCGCCAGCTCCTGCTTGGTCACCTCGATGAAGGACGGGTCCTGAGCGAAATGGCCCAGGCCCTCTGATATCAACACCTGAATAGAGAGAGAGAGAGAGTTAAATAAGGAGATTGAGTTTGAGCTGAAGATCTAGAGGAGATGTAGAGGGAGATGCTGTGTGTGGGTTTGAAGTTCTACTAATTTGGTGGTTTTCAGCCCAGATCCTCCGCCCAGAGAATATATAATGTTCAGAGAGAGAGAGAGATAAATGGAGAGGAGAGATGAAACATTCAACATTCACTCACTGCTTCCACCAGGCTGCCGGCGCTACCGTGGGACGACGACGTAGCGTCCTTGTGCACCATGCTAGGCACAGTGAGGGAGACGGGCCGCGGCCGCCGCTGGCTAGCCGCACCCACCCCAGGGCTGATACCGGGACTGTTCCCATTGCTGTCGCTGTACCACGGCTCACAGTTGACCGAGGGCAGGCTGGAGTTGAGCTCGTAGGAGCCGGTGCCAGGGCCCGTGCCCTGGAGGCGGAGGGAGGGCACACGCTGGTAGGAGGCGTGGCTATGGCGACCCCGGCCTGTGGGACTGGTAGGAGGCGTAGAGCAGAGCTGCGTGAAGAGGGTCGGGGAGTGGCTCCGTCGAAGCAGGGGGCTCAGGCCTGCTACTGCTAGGGCCTGGGAGGGTGGGAAGTGTGTGGTGTGGGAAGGATTTATGTTTATAAATGCGTATATGAAAAATAAACGTGATTGTGTGCGTGTGTGTGTGTATGATACATTAGTGTTTATGTGTGTGTGGGGAAGGGTGTGTGTGTGTGTATATATGAATAAAGAGGAGAGATAATTAGGCACATCAAATCATGATATACTGTATAGTGGGTGCATATGTGTAAAACTGATCTAGGTGTAAAATGATCAGGTGTGTAAAACTGGTCTAGGTGTAAAATGATCAGGTGTGTAAAACTGATCTAGGTGTAAAATGATCAGGTGTAAAACTGATCTAGTTGTAGAATGACCAGGTGTGTAAAACTGATCTAGGTGTAGAATGACCAGGTGTGTAAAACTGATCCAGGTGTAGAATGATCAGGTGTGTAAAACTGATCCAGGTGTAAAATGATCAGGTGTAAAACTGATCTAGTTGTAGAATGACCAGGTGTGTAAAACTGATCTAGGTGTAGAATGACCAGGTGTGTAAAACTGATCCAGGTGTAGAATGACCAGGTGTGTAAAACTGATCTAGGTGTAGAATGACCAGGTGTGTAAAACTGATCTAGGTGTAGAATTACCAGGTGTGAAAACGGATCTAGGTGTAGAATGACCAGGTGTGTAAAACTGATCCAGGTGTAGAATGACCAGGTGTGTAAAACTGATCCAGGTGTAGAATGACCAGGTGTGTAAAACTGATCCAGGTGTAGAATGATCAGGTGTGTAAAACTGATCCAGGTGTAGAATGATCAGGTGTGTAAAACTGATCTAGTTGTAAAATAATCAGGTGTGTAAAACTGATCTAGGTGTAGAATGACCAGGTGTGTAAAACTGATCTAGGTGTAGAATGACCAGGTGTGTAAAACTGATCTAGGTGTAGAATGACCAGGTGTGTAAAACTGATCTAGGTGTAGAATTACCAGGTGTGAAAACGGATCTAGGTGTAGAATGACCAGGTGTGTAAAACTGATCTAGGTGTAGGATGACCAGGTGTGTAAAACCATCCCTACTCACCTGATGGTGTACCAGGTGTAGCGGTAGTGCCGTCTTCTGGGAGACGTCTGCTCTCGTCTGTCTCCTCAGACACTCCAGATGGAAGGACGACCGTCGACCTGAACCAAGGGGAGGGAAGGAGTGAGAGACTGCATGCACATAGAATATAAATTAACCAGAGAGATTACCCAATTAACAATTAACCAGAAGGGATTAACCAATTACCAATTAACCAGAGGGAATCACCAATTAACAACTAACCAGAGGGATTAACCAATTAACAATTAACCAGAGAGATTCACCAATTAACAATTAACCAGAGGGATTAACCAATTAACAATTAACCAGCGAGAGAGAGGCTGCATGCACATAGAATAACAATTACTAGAATGGACTTTCCCATTTCAAGTCAACAGACTGTGGTGGGTGGAGCGGGTGGTGTGGGAGGGGGGTTGAGTGGGGAGTTAAGTAGAGAAGGGGTTAGGGGTATCTGAGTAAGGAGTATTTCGTTTGAGTGAAGAGTTGGAGGTTAGTGGGGGTTGAAGGGAGGTGTAAGGGCTGTTGGTGTTGGTATTCAAATCTTACCCAGTGCTTTAGGCAGGCAGGTCTAACTCCAGGAATTAGGTATGGGATAGGGGTGTTTGGTTTGGGTGAGGAGTTGGAGGTTAGTGGGGTTGGAGGGAGGTCTAAGGGCTAGTGTAGTAGTGTGGTCTTAGACAGGCAGGTCTTACCCAGAGCTGTGGGACAGAGGAAGGCTCGTCTGGGAGAGTGCCAGGGTCTCCTCTCCTCCCCATCCTCTCCTTCCTCCATCGGAGTCAGCTGCTTGCTCTCCTCATCCTGGTACACCAGCCTGGAAACACACACACACACACGTTAATGTGGGGCATACAGAGATCATGAAAGGCATATCTTTGAGTGGTGAAAGAGAAAGAGACAGACAGGGAGAGGGAGAGAGACAGTGAGAAAAAGACAGAGAAAAAGACTGAGAAAGATCAAGAGCGAGAGAAGCAGACAAGAAGAGAGGGGAGGATAGAAGAGAGAGAGGTGGAGAGAAGCAGAGAAGAAGAGAGGGGAGGATAGAAGAGAGAGAGGTGGAGAGAAGCAGAGAAGAAGAGAGGGGAGGATAGAAGAGAGAGAGGTGGAGAGCAGAGAAGAAGAGAGGGGAGGAGAGAAGATGAGAGGGGAGGATAGAAGAGAGAGAGGTGGAGAGAAGCAGAGAAGAAGAGAGGGAGGATAGAAGAGAGAGGTGGAGAGAAGCAGAGAAGAAGAGAGGGGAGAGAGAAGAGAAGATGGTGGAGAGAAGCAGAGAAGAAGAGAGGGAGGATAGAGAGAGAGAGGTGGAGAAGCAAGAAAAGAGAGGGAGGAAGAAGAAGGGTGGAGATATCAGAGAAGAAGAGGGAGGAGAAGAGAGATATGGTGGAATACGATAGTACAGAGTTTAGAGATCTGAATTGAGATATTTTTAGTGTTCTGCTATTGTTAGAGAAGTTGAGATCAGAGTAGAGATATGAGGATAAAGAGAGAGGTGGAGAGTAGCAGTACATGTCTGAGGTGAGAATGTTCTGGTCGCTGCGGTGGTATTCTCTCTCGTCCGCGTAACTCTCATCGTATGTCTCGTCCGTCGACGCCTCCTCTCGCCTGATGATCGGCAGACGGCTGTCAGTGGAGTCCGAGCTGCGGAGGATAAAAACCAACAAAACACCTCACTAACCAGCTCAGAATAAAGGATAGATAGAAAGGAGGATTATCCCCAACAGCAGGAGGGAGAGAGGGGAGGAGGCGCGGTGGTTAGAAGCAAGATGGCGGCGAGAAGCGTTACCTTTAAAGCAGAATGAATAGAGAACCAACACAGGGCTGAGATAGTGACAGTGGTCCAGCGATGTACTGTAATATCCTCTACAGAGCTGAATGAAAGCTTTAGGAGGATCCAACCAGGTTGAATCACTAGGCTGTGTTGAGGAGGAAGTAAGGCCACTCACAGGAGGCTGCTGAGGGCTGAACGGCTCATTATGATGTCCGGAACGGCGCAAATGGAATGGCATTAAACACCTGGAAACAATGTGTTTGATGTATTTCATATCATTCCACCGATTCCGCTCCAGTCGTTAACATGAGCCCGTTCTCCCCAATGAAAGTGCCACCAACCTCCTGTGATGTCACTCCTGTCATGGTGGATCCAACCAGAGCTACATGAGCTAAAGACACTGTAGGTGATACATATCCACATCCCTATCCTGTATAATATACATCTCCTCTGCCTCCTCTGGTAGAAAATCATACCTATGATCCACATGATCTTTAAAGATCCTACGAAGATCACACCAGAAAACAGGTGAAATGATTTACAGAAGTCCAGACACTAAGTATCTTTAGCTCACTGCAGCAAAGATCCAGCCATGGACTGTATGAACAACAGGGTCGGCAGAACCCGTCCATACTGATGCCTCCTCAGCATTCCAACTCTCTCTCTCCCTCTCCTCCTGAGAGAGCAACATACCGCATGAGGGCGTCATAGAAACAGATCCTGTGCTCAGAGTCAGTCAGTGTGGAGAGAAAGAGGGAGACAGACAGACAGACAGACAGACACAGAAGAAGTTACCATTGACTACCAATCAGAATTGGCCACAGACCCACTGTGGGTCTAGAGAGGTCACTGATAAAAGACAGATCAGAGAATAACTCCAACATACTAACTAACCTATACTAACGATATAAACATATACTAACCGAACCAAGAGAAACCAGAGAGACACCCACCTCTTGGGAGGGAAGCACCATGCAGACCTCGGCAGTAGTATTGGGGTTAGCGGGGGTCTGCTCTGCCCATCCACAGTACTGATGCTGGGGCTAGGGAAGCAGCTGACCCCCCCTGGACCACCAACCCCAACTACCACACCAGGGACCGCAGTGTTGTTGGCATTGTTGATGTTAGCATTGGAGCCCGAGGAGGAGTAGGAGCTCGGGGTGAAGGTGGTGGAGTCCATCAACCTCTCGTGGGACGGGGACTCGCCCTCGCCGGGGCTGCCCGTCTTGCTGATGTGGAGCGGGCGCTGCGTGGTGAAGGATTGTGGGAAGGTGTTGCGCCCGCTGTCGCGCCCATCGTTGTAGTAGCTGACGTGGTTACCGAACAACCCACCCGCTCGCTGCAGGGGGTGGAGAGAGAGGGGGAGGAGAGAGAAGGATGAGTATTGTGTAGCGTTACTGTTCATCCATCTATAAGCACATAGATTTCATGCTATTCTGCTATGATGACTAAATATATTCACTCTAAATCTATTCACTCTATGTCGTATGGACAATGCAAAGCATAGGCCTGGTTTATGACTTTGGTAATGGTGAACAGCAATGTCTCCCTCTATTGGGGCGAGATAGTGTTTAGGTGTCAAAGTGGATGGCCTGGTTTGTGACTGGAGTAATGGTGAACAGCAATGTCTCCCTCTATTGGGGCGAGATAGTGTTTAGGTGTCAAAGTGGATGGCCTGGTTTGTGACTGGAGTAATGGTGAACAGCAATGTCTCCCTCTATTGGGGTGAGATAGTGTTTAGATGTCAAAGTGGATGAGAAGTCCATGTAGTGGGTTCTGAAGTGTAGTGGGTTCTGAAGTGTAGTGGGTACTGAAGTGTAGTGGGTACTGAAGTGTAGTGGGTACCGAAGTGTTGTAGATACCGAAGTGTAGTCAGTACTGAAGTGTAGTGGGTACTGAAGTGTAGTAGCCGAAGTGTAGTGGGTTCTGAAGTGTAGTGGGTACTGAAGTGTAGTGGGTACTGAAGTGTAGTGGGTACTGAAGTGTTGTAGATACCGAAGTGTAGTCGGTACTGAAGTGTAGTGGGTACTGAAGTGTAGTAGATACCGAAGTGTAGTGGGTTCTGAAGTGTAGTGGGTACTGAAGTGTAGTGGGTACTGAAGTATAGTGGGTACTGAAGTGTAGTGGGTACTGAAGTGTTGTAGATACCGAAGTGTCGTTGGTACTGAAGTGTAGTGGGTACTGAAGTGTAGTGGGTTCTGAAGTGTAGTGGGTACTGAAGTGTAGTGGGTACTGAAGTGTAGTAGATACCAAAGTGTCGTCGGTACTGAAGTGTAGTGGGTACTGAAGTGTAGTGGGTTCTGAAGTGTAGTGGGTTCTGAAGTGTAGTGGGTACTGAAGTGTAGTAGATACCAAAGTGTCGTCGGTACTGAAGTGTAGTGGGTACTGAAGTGTAGTGGGTACTGAAGTGTAGTGGGTTCTGAAGTGTAGTGGTGGTGGATGGTGAAGAACCAGATGTAATCCTTATAGCTGGTCACAGCAGAAGCGATGGGCCTGATGAGGCTCAGTAGCTCAGACAGAGGGGTGTGTGGGGGTGTGTAGCCGACCTTTACCCTGAAGATATCGTCCTCAGACGCAGCAGAGACCGGCTCCTTCATCGACTTGTCCAGGTCCTCCTCCACTGTGAGGTCACCTGATATGGCCCTCCGGATCTCAGGACCCATGTCATGGAGCGTCCGCAGGCCCGCCTGATTAGAAATACAGACAGAGACAGGCATAGACACAGACATGCACAAACACGGACGGACAGACAGACAGACACGGAGGAACATAAAGAAACACAGACTCATTGTTTTAGTATTAATACTAATTTGATATGTTCAGTTAAGTACTAACACACTTCTAAAAGGTCAAACAGTGCTCTGGTTTGAAGGTCTGACAGGCAGGAAGTTGTAGTGACCAACCTGCAGGGAGAGAGCAGTCTTGGGGGGTACCTTGGCAACAAGGCCCTGCTCTTTACGCTTCTTAAACTTCCTGAAGTACTCCTGGATCAGGAAGGTGGCGTAGAACTTCCCAACCGTCACCTCATCATCTCCAGCAGGGGGCACGACCTGATCCAGCAGCTTCATACTGGTTCTCTTCCAGATCTTCTTCACTATCGCCCGAAGCTCCTCGTTCGCCTGCTCCAAGTTACCTTCACACACACAGAAACCAGACGGGGACCGTACAAACCAACAATAGTCATTGCTCCAAGTTACCTTCTCACACACACACACACACACACGCACACATACACACACACACACACACTCACTCACTCACTCACACGTTAATGTGGGGCATACAGAGATCATGAAAGGCATATCTTTGAGTGGTGAAAGAGACCGAGGGAGAGAGAGAGAAAGAGAGAGAGAAGAGAGAGAGAGAGAGAGAAAGAGATAAGATTGATGAGGAACATAGAATAAGAGGGAGTATAGAAGAGTGCAGTCCGGTAGGGCCGGATAACGGGTTTGGAGACAGAGATAAGATGAGAGAGATAGAGATGAGAGAGAGAGAGGAGAAGAGAGAGAGGGTGGAGAGAAAAGAAGAAGAGGGAAAAAGAAGAGAGGGGGAGAGAAGCAGAGAAAGAAGAAGGGGAGGATAGAGAAGAGAAGTGAGAGAACAGAAAGAAGAGAGGAGTATAGAAGAGAGAGAGGTGGAGAGAAGCATAGCTTCTCATATCGCTCGGGAGGATAGAGATTAGTCTTGTTTGATCCCCTCTACCGTATAGAGATAGCTGATTCTCTCATCTAAGAGGCTGATAGATCTGATGACAGCAGATATCTATAGTGTTTCATAACGAATACATACGATTTGGGCGCTGCATGAGACTCTACTCGGGCTGCACCCTGACAGTACGAGCCAGGTCGGAGGCTGTCCTCCTAGTAGTTTCAATCAGCGTCTTCCATCACGATAGAGGAAGACGACATACACTGAGAGAGAGAGAGAGAGAACAGAAGAAACAACAGACAGACGAGACATACAGACAGACGACCACGACAGACACCAGACAGACCGAAAACAGACAGACGAATCGATACAGACAGCACAAGCGATTGCACATAAAATCAAGTGTAACCATCAAGGGTCCTGACCACAGTGGCTGTTCGCAACCAGAGCAATAGGGTGGCATTGAACATGGACTGGTGCCCATCGCTGTGTTCAGCAAAGGGGGGCGCAGAGTATCAGGACATAACAGAACAGACCTTGCAGCAACCCGGTGGGTACAGAGCTTCTTCCGAAGCCCAGAGGAGGCTGAATCCTCCTCAACAGAGTTACCACAATCCAGGTGCTTGATACGACCCCTGTGAAACCCACAACAATATTTAAATAGAGAGAGAGAGATAGAGAGAGAATAGAGAAGATAGAGAGAGAGAGAGTAGAGAGGAGAGAGAGAGATAAAGAGAGACGTACAGATAGTGAGCTATAACTTCAGACGAAACGAGAGATACGACATAATGCTAACAGACGTCTTATCTTCTACTCCTCGCTTCCCCTCTCTCTCACGCCCGTCTCTCACTCTCCTCTCTCTCATCTCTCTCTCGCTCTCTCCCTCTCTCTCTCTCCCTCTCTCTCTTCCGCGTTCTTCTCTTCCCTCTCTCTCTCTGCTCCTCTCTCTCTCTCTCCTCTCTCCTCTCTCTTCTTCCCTCTCTCTCTCTCTCTCCTCTCTCTCTCTCTCGCTCTCTCGCTCTCTCTCTCTCTCTCTCTCTCTCTCCTCTCTCTCTCTCATCCTCTCTCCTCTCTCTCTCCTCCCTCTCTCACTCATCCTGCTCTCCCTCTCATCGCCTCTCTCCCTCTCATACATGACAGCCATCTTACACTGACACGACATACATACTCCTACTCCAGCCACTACAACCGCCACAGACCGACAGTACAGAAACAGAATCTACTACAGACAGACCAGCCATACAACAGACAGCACCAGACCAGACATACAGACAGACAGATGCTGTTTGAAGTTGTACTGACTTGGCCTCTGGGTCGTATTCAGCCCAGATCCTCTTGAACTCATCAAGGTGGTGAGGTCCCAGAATAGACCAGTCTCTGGTCAGGTAGTCAAAGTTATCCATGATCACAGCCACAAACAGGTTGATGATCTGGGGACAGAGAGATAATCAACTCATCAGTCCCAATGACAGCTGACAGAGAGACAACAGACCAGAATAATCAACTCATCAGTCCTAATGACAGTTGACAGAGAGACAACAGACCAGAATAATCAACTCATCAGTCCCAAAGACAGCTGACAGAGCACAAATCAATCAGATCTAGATCACAAATCAATCAGATCTAGATCACAAATCAATAACAAAACTCTCCTGAATATATACCTGGAAATCAAGATCAAGATCAAGAAAAGTCAATGTGTGTTATTATGTTATAAGTATGAAGTTGTGACTCTGTCATTATTGAGTGCCAGTGGGATTGTCCCCCCCTGCGCTCCGTAGCTAGTGGGATTGTCCCTCCCTGCTCTCCGTAGCTAGTAGGAATGTCCCTCCTTACTCTCTGTAGCTAGTGGGAATGTCCCTCCCTACTCTCCATAGCTAGTGGGAATGTCCCTCCCTGCTCTCCGTAGCTAGTGGGAATGTCCCTCCCTACTCTCCGTAGCTAGTGGGAATGTCCCTCCCTACTCTCCGTAGCTAGTGGGAATGTCCCTCCCTGCTCTCCGTAGCTAGTGGGAATGTCCCTCCCTGCTCTCCGTAGCTAGTGGGAATGTCCCTCCCTACTCTCCGTAGCTAGTGGGAATGTCCCTCCCTACTCTCCGTAGCTAGTGGGAATGTCCCTCCCTACTCTCCGTAGCTAGTGGGAATGTCCCTCCCTACTCTCCGTAGCTAGTGGGAATGTCCCTCCTTACTCTCTGTAGCTAGTGGGAATGTCCCTCCCTACTCTCTGTAGCTAGTGGGAATGTCCCTCCCTACTCTCCGTAGCTAGTGGGAATGTCCCTCCCTACTCTCCGTAGCTAGTGGGAATGTCCCTCCCTACTCTCCGTAGCTAGTGGGAATGTCCCTCCCTACTCTCCGTAGCTAGTGGGATTGTCCCTCCCTGCTCTCCGTAGCTAGTGGGATTGTCCCTCCCTGCTCTCCGTAGCTAGTGGGATTGTCCCTCCCTGCTCTCCGTAGCTAGTGGGATTGTCCCTCCCTGCTCTCCGTAGCTAGTGGGATTGTCCCTCCCTGCTCTCCGTAGCTAGTGGGATTGTCCCTCCCTGCTCTCCGTAGCTAGTGGGATTGTCCCTCCCTGCTCTCCGTAGCTAGTGGGATTGTCCCTCCCTGCTCTCCGTAGCTAGTGGGATTGTCCCTCCCTGCTCTCCGTAGCTAGTGGGATTGTCCCTCCCTGCTCTCCGTAGCTAGTGGGATTGTCCCTCCCTGCTCTCCGTAGCTAGTGGGATTGTCCCTCCCTGCTCTCCGTAGCTAGTGGGATTGTCCCTCCCTGCTCTCCGTAGCTAGTGGGATTGTCCCTCCCTGCTCTCCGTAGCTAGTGGGATGTCCCTCCCTGCTCTCCGTAGCTAGTGGGATTGTCCCTCCCTGCTCTCCGTAGCTAGTGGGAATGTCCCTCCCTACTCTCCGTAGCTAGTGGGAATGTCCCTCCCTACTCTCCGTAGCTAGTGGGAATGTCCCTCCTACTCTCCGTAGCTAGTGGGAATGTCCCTCCCTACTCTCCGTAGCTAGTGGGATTGTCCCTCCCTGCTCTCCGTAGCTAGTGGGATTGTCCCTCCCTGCTCTCCGTAGCTAGTGGATTGTCCCTCCCTGCTCTCCGTAGCTAGTGGGATTGTCCCTCCCTGCTCTCCGTAGCTAGTGGGATTGTCCCTCCCTGCTCTCCCGTAGCTAGTGGGATTGTCCCTCCCTGCTCTCCGTAGCTAGTGGGATTGTCCCTCCCTGCTCTCCGTAGCTAGTGGGAATGTCCCTCCCTACTCTCCGTAGCTAGTGGGAATGTCCCTCCCTACTCTCCGTAGCTAGTGGGATTGTCCCTCCCTGCTCTCCGTAGCTAGTGGGAATGTCCCTCCCTACTCTCCGTAGCTAGTGGGATTGTCCCTCCCTGCTCTCCGTAGCTAGTGGGATTGTCCCTCCCTGCTCTCCGTAGCTAGTGGGATTGTCCCTCCCTGCTCTCCGTAGCTAGTGGGAATGTCCCTCCCTACTCTCCGTAGCTAGTGGGAATGTCCCTCCCTACTCTCCGTAGCTAGTGGGATTGTCCCTCCCTGCTCTCCATAGCTAGTGGGATTGTCCCTCCCTGCTCTCCGTAGCTACTCACCAGGAAGGCACACAGCATGTAGAAGCTGACGAAGTAGAAGATGGCGAAGTGACTTCCACACTGGTCCTCGCTGGCCGGACCCACCTCTGACCCCTTCTCACAGGGCCGCATGGGGGCGCATGCCAGCATGATCTCCTGCCACGCCTCGCCTGTGGCACACCTGGGCACAGGTAAACAACCAGCTGTCACACACAGAAGGCTCTTCTCTACAGGAAGAATGGGTTCCACGAAGGGCCCACCTGGTGGTGAAATGCTGCATGGTTGTCCTACCTTCAAAGGTAGAGTTTTCAAACAAAAAGTGGGAAACGACATCACGGCTTGCAGAAGAGGTGGATGCGTAGGCGTTTGATAAAACACCATTACTTTGAGTTGGCAGTGCTTTCATGATCTCCAGATCTGTTAGGGCTTTTTAAATCAGGAATTTCTGATGGTGGTTTACAGTCTGGAAAGAGAGTTTGTGGAGGAGGAGAGGAAGGAGAGGAGTGTCTCACCTGAAGAGCAGTAGAGTAGCCTGGGGGAAGGTCTGGAAGTTGTTGTTTCTGTTGATCTGACTGTTGTCCCTCAGGGCTATCTTACCAAACATCTGCAGGGGGCAAGGTTGTTAGGGACACAGGCCACGTCCAGGTCAACATGGTGCAAGACAGCCGCGCCACAGAGGACGGGTGACATCATCAGGTCAGTGCCACAGAGGACAGATGACATCATCAGGTCAGTGCCACAGAGGACAGGGGGGGGCCGAGGAGACAGGACAATAACCACAAGGCTTCTCAACATGTATATAAGGAAGCAAAAAGTACAACATCTAGCGCTGGTTGCCCGGACATGAATTCAGCCTAGTCCTGGCATTAAAAACACTTTCAATGGAGCATGCTTTTATGTCCTGGACTAGGCTTATATCTGGGAAACCAGCCCCTAGAGATAGAACATATAGAGATGAAAGGGTATTATACTGTGGAGGAGAAAACAGGACAGAACATACAGAACCTTGGGTTAAGGTTTAGAACAGCTGCCAACACAGACAGGACAGGACTGGCTAGAGGAGAGAAACAGAGGGAGGGAGAGAGAAGGAGGAGAGAAACAGAGGGAGGGAGAGAGAAGGAGGAGGAGAAAACAGAGGAGGAGAGAGAGAGAGGACAGAGGAGGAGAAAAGAGGAGAGCAGAGGAGAGAAGGAGGAGAGAAACAGAGGGAGGGAGAGAGAAGAGGGAGAGAAACAGAGGGAGAGAGAAGGAGGAGAGAAACAGAGGGAGGGAGAGAGAAGGAGGAGAGAAACAGAGGGAGAGGAGAGAGAAGGAGGAGAGAAAAGAGGAGGGAGAGAGAAGAGAGAGGAGAGAGAAAAGAGGGAGGAGAGAGAAGAAGGAGGAAGAAACAGAGGGAGGGAGAGGAAGGAGGAGAGAAAAAGAGGGAGGGAGAGAGAAGGAGGAGAGAAACAGAGGGAGGGAGAGAGAAGGAGGAGAGAAACAGAGGGAGGGAGAGAGAAGGAGGAGAGAAACAGAGGGAGGGAGAGAGAAGGAGGAGAGAGAGAAACAGAGGGAGGGAGAGAGAAGGAGGAGGAGAAACAGAGGGAGGGAGAGAGAGAGGAGGAGAGACACAGAGGGAGGGAGAGAGAAGGAGGAGAGAGGAGGAAGAGAGAAGGGGAGAAAACAGAGGGAGGGAGAGAGAAGGAGGAGAGAAACAGAGGGAGGGGAGAGAGAGGAGGAGAGAAACAGAGGGAGAGAGAGAAGGAGGAGAGAAAAAAGGGAGGGAGAAGAGAAGGAGGAGAGAAAGAGGGGGAGAGAAGAAGGGGGAGAGGAGGGAGGAGAGAAGAGGAGAAAACGAGGGAGGGAGAGAGAAGGAGGAGGGAAAACAGAGGGAGGGAGAGAGAAGGAGGGGAGAAAAAGAGGGAGGGAGAGAGACGAGGAGAGAACAGCGGAGGGAGAGAGAAGGAGGAGAGAAACAGAGGAAGGGAGAGAACAAGGCGGGACCAATCCCAGATGCTGGGGTTGACCACCAGTTCTTACCTGCATCCCAATGACGGCGTAGATGAAGAAGAGCATCACTATAAGCAGTGCTACATAGGGGAGGGCCTAGGGGGGCAGAGAGAGGTCAGTGACACGTCAACACTGTCTGGCACCACTGCACCAAAAACACATCACATGTTACAAGTAACACACTGCTGCAAAATAGTCCCAGTCCTTTTTCCACTGTCCAACACAAGAGAAAGGACTATTTTATCAGAACCCCTTTATCAAATGACTTTTTGATGGAGTGCTTCTATAAAATCACCTACGTTTACATTTTAGCGATGCTCTCATCCAGAGCGACTTACAGTAGTGAGTTCGTACAATTTCTCATGCTGGTCCCCCCCGTGGGAATTGAACCCACAACCCTGGCGTTGCAAGCGCCATGCTCTACCAACTGAGCCACACGGGACTCGGGGAGGATATCTCAACTTCTCAGCCTTATCGTTAACCTATAGCATGGTGAGTAGGCTATGACAGCATGCATATGAAGGGTATTGGGGTTTTGAGAGACGGTTAGATGCTAGCTGGCTTATTAGCTGGACACATCATTCCTCCCTTCTACATTCCTCCCTCAAGCAGGGTCAGGGTCAAGCTGAATTTAAGTCACTCAATTCAGGAAGTGATTTGAAATGAAAATTCTAACATGTAAAAACTTAAATAAATAAATAAATAGGCTATCTTAAAAAAATAATGTGTTTATTGATAATTAATTGAAAATATATATATTTTAAAATTATTGGCGAGGTACAGACCAGAACTAAAAGACGTTGAGGTGTGGTCTTTCCTCCCAAACCTCAGTTATATCTAACTCAATTTATAGAATTTCAATTCCAGTATACTTCCCTCCTGAATTGACTGACCTCAATTCGAATTGACCCCTGACCCCTGCATCTCAATTCTCAATCATCTTGACTTGAGTCTGAGTCTCCCCTCACTTGAAAGGACTTGATGAAGGTCCACAGCAGGGTCCGTATCCCTTCTCCCCGAGACAGCAGTTTGACCAGCCGCATCACTCTGAAGAGCCGGAAGAAGGTGATGGAGATCCTGGCGTTATCTTCAGAGTTTTGTAGTCCCTTTTGTTAGGCACCGGACGTCAACACACACACACACACACACACACACACGGACAGACAGACGAGGATTCAGACATTCACACACACATGCGAGCACACACACACACACACACACACACACACACACACACACACACACACACACACACACACACACACACACACACGGACAGACAGACGAGGATTCAGACATTCACACACACATGCGAGCACACACAAGAGCAGACATACACACACACGCAGAAGCGCAGACACACGTACACACAGACATGAACAGACACACACGCGCGCGCGCGCACACACACACGATCATCCATATGCACACGTAGTTGCAGATACATACACACACACATACACACACACAGACACACACACATACACACAAACAGACACACAAAGTTAATAAGTCAATCACTGTTGAGTCCTTCAAAATCATCCCATCAAAAACAACCTACAAAATAGTTTAGGAGAGAATCGGGCATCACCTGGTGGCTTTATGAGAAATGGAAATACAACTAACAGATGCAATGCATTACGCTTCCTGCTCTCCAGCAGAGGAAAACTATCAGAGCTTTTCATGGTCGTATTAATATTTCAAAGCCCCAAACAAAAACTAGGCTATGAAATATTTACACAAACCTCTCTAGACAAAATGTTCCTTTCAATTTAAGTTGGTACAACATTTGATTAACTGGAGTACCTTGGAAAGGCCCTTAAGAATTCAGAAGCTAAGCCACAACTTGACAAAACAACCAACTGAAATGAACGACACAATACATAGGCTTCTCAACAAGCACAGCCGTAATATCTTCCATCAGACAGAGACAACAACTACAAAACACTAGAACAACAACTTCTACACGGAGAAACTAGTTCCACAACCTTCACCAGACTGAACAACAACAAACTACTTTATAACGACAACAACAACAACACAATGCATTGAACCTTTGGTTATTGGTATTATTCCTCATAGAGCCACCAGCTATGTGTTTAAATCAAGGAGGTAAATCCACAGGAGGACAGTAGGGGGAGCAACTGTGCCACACAGAGAAAGAGAGCGAGAAAGACTGATAGAGAGAAAGAGAGAGAGAAAGACTGATAGAGAGAAAGAGAGAGAGAAAGACTGATAGAGAGAAAGACTGATAGAGAGAAAGAGAGAGAGAAAGACTGATAGAGAGAAAGACTGATAGAGAGAAAGACTGATAGAGAGAAAGAGAGAGAGAGAGAGAGAGAAAGACTGATAGAGAGAAAGACTGATAGAGAGAAAGACTGATAGAGAGAAAGAGAGAGAGAAAGACTGATAGAGAGAAAGACTGATAGAGAGAAAGACTGATAGAGAGAAAGACTGATAGAGAGAAAGAGAGAGAGAAAGAAAGGTAGATGACCGCGTGACCATGGCTTGCACCAATGACAAAGCACCACTAATAGAGGAGACGGAGGAGGAGGAGGAGGAAGAGGAGGAGGAGGAAGAGGAGCGAGGCAAGTTTTTTTTATTTTGCCTGAGAGCGATGACAACACGACAGCGACCACAGAAGACTTAGCCACAGTCTAAAATCCCCAGTACAACCATGGCCATCCTCTGTGTTAACACACAGGGTGAGCCCCAAACGCTACCCTATTCTCTATAGAGTGCTTTGGAAGTAGTGCACTATATATAGGGAACAGGGTGCCATTTGTGACATCCCACACGGGTAGCATGCTGCTGGTGATGGGTGTGGGGGGGGGATGAAGGGGTGGTGGAGACGGAGGTTACCGTGGGTCCGTACCATTGTTCTTACCGCGGGGGGTTGGGAGGAGGAGGAGGTGGTAGAGGAGTCAGCTGGCTTTAAAGAAAGGCAGACAGATCAAAGCTATAGTAGCACAGATCGCCCTGCTTCTGCTGGGACGGGTGTGTGTGTGTGTGTGTGTGTGTGTGTGTGTGTGTTGGACCCATGGGCTAGGCCAGGGACTTGGGGAAGATGATACACCTGAGATGTTAGATGTGGGACAGGTATGCCACTAGGCGGCAGAGCCCTCAGTATTGCTAGAATTAGGCATGTTGTTGTACTGAGTAGATCACACTGTTAGCAGGTACTGCAGCACATGTATGAGGGAGAGCTTCAATAGCTTTTATAGAGTCCCCTTAGAAGAGTTTAGGTTGGGGTTAACTGGGCCTGAATATCAGATGTGGTTAGAGGGGTTTAGAAGTCATCAATGAATTTAGTGGAGTAGTGGAATATTACCTCCAAAGTGCTGGGGGCAAATAGAATGAATGTCATTTGAGTGTGACTGTGACCGTATGAAAGTGTATCTCTGTGTGTGTGTGTGTGTGTGTGTGTATCTGTGAGTGTGTGTGTGTGTGTGTATCTGTGTGTGTGTGTGTGTGTGTGTATCTGTGTGTGTGTGTGTGTGTGTGTGTGTATCTGTGTGTGTGTGTGTGTGTGTGTGTGTGTGTATCTGAGGGGAGAGGCTCTAACTCTATAGCTGTCTCTGTCTTTCTGCCAGGTCTAGCTACACACAGTACAGAACAGAACATAACATTATGGGGACAGCAACATGTGGGGAGGTCTGAGCATGGTCCCTGGGTAGGGAGCCATCCACTGGCCATCCCCTGTACTGCAGCCATGAGACTGGGAATGCTTTTCACTTAAGTCTCCCATTTCCATCAATGCATGACTAAGTGAAAACTGGGCTGGAGTAACAGTAAGGATCTGGGATCTTGGTTTGTCAGTGTGACTGGAATTCAGCAGCCAGATGCATACAGTTAGTCAGTTGGCCACGTACAGTTAGTCAGTTGGCCACGTAAGTGTCAGTTGGCACGACAGTTTGTCAGTGGACCCGTCCAGTCAGTCAGTTGCACTACAGTTAGTCAGTTGGCCACGTCCAGTTAGTCAGTTGGCCACAAACAGTTAGTCAGTTGGCCACGTACAGTTAGTCAGTTGGCCACGTCCAGTTAGTCAGTTGGCCACGTCCAGTTAGTCAGTTGGCCACGTCCAGTTAGTCAGTTGGCCACAACAGTTAGTCAGTTGGCCACGTCCAGTTAGTCAGTTGGCCACGTACAGTTAGCAGTTGGCCAGTCAGTTTTGTCAGTTGGCACATTACAGTTATGTCAGTGGCCACACAGTTATCAGTGCACGTAAGTTAGTCGTTGGCCACGTACAGTAGTCAGTTGGCCACGGTACAGTTAGTCAGTTGGCCATGTACAGTAGTCAGTTGGCCACGTAAGTTAGTCGTTGGCCAGTAAGTTAGTCAGTTGGCCACGTCCAGTTAGTCAGTTGGCCACGTACAGTTTGAACAGCAGGGCATGCTGTTTTATCAGTGACTTTACACCTTATTTTTCTATTGGCATGACCCACACGGTATACATGACGGAAGGCTTGGTGGAATCTCTGTAGTAGAGAGAAGGAGGGTAATGTAAAGGGAAGTGGTGGATTACGGAGAGTGTGTGAGGTTAAGGGTGTGTGTGTGTGTGTGCGTCTGTGTGTCTGTATGTGTGTCTGTCTGTGTGTGTGTGTGTCTGTGTGTCTGTGTGTGTGTGTGTGTGTGTGTGTCTGTATGTGTGTCTGTCTGTGTGTGTGTGTGTGTCTGTGTGTGTGTGTGTGTGTGTGTGTGTGTGTGTGTGTCTGTATGTGTGTCTGTCTGTGTGTGTGTGTGTGTGTGTGTGTGTGTGTGTGTGTGTGTGTGTGTGTGTGTGTGTGTGTGTGTGTGTGTGTGTGTGTGTGTGTGTGTACATGTTCATGTGTGTTTTGTGGACCACTTAGGGGCACTGGCTTGGCATGGATTGGAGACTGGGGGGGTTGTGTATCTGGGGAGTAGGAGGTGCTATGATTGTTCTACATGCTTAGGTTAATACACTAGAATTATGTTGGACTGTAAATCCACTGCAGAACTACCATCAAACGTTTCAACAATGAAGCTATAATGAAATTATACTGGATCATTGTCAAAATGCTCATCAACTGTTTTCAAGTTGAAAACACAATGGTGCTGGGTTGTATAGTCCTGCAGTGTTCTCCTGCGTGTTGTATTGTGAGGGGGGAGGTTCTGGGTAACACACAACACAATCATTTAAATACAACTTCCAGTCCAACTGTGCAAATGTGAGTTGTGATTATACTGTCAAACAATCACTCATTTTAAATAACTTTTAAAAATATTTTTTTTTCACATTGCACATAATCATTACGGTTCAAGTATACTGTATAGGTAACCTAGGTCTCTGTATACACTATTATTTGACTAACATCTGCGACAGCAGGGCTGGTTGGAATGTTTCAACATTATAGAAGCATCAGATGTCATCTTTTCATTTTCCTTACCTTTGTATATTTAAACTAAATTGAATTCCTCTGTCTTATTGTTGTTATGCGTGGCCGAATTGGCAGATCATTTCTGAAAACAATTTAAATCATCCTTAGACGCCTAGGAGAGGTACACTCTTACGAAAAAAGGCTTCCAAAAGGGCTCTTCTGCTGTCCCCATGGGATAACTCTTTTTGGATCCAGGTAGAACCCTTTTTGGTTCCAGGTAGAACCCTCTTTGGAAAGGGTTCTACATGGAACTCTACCTGGAACCAAAAGGGTTCTATCTGAAACCAAAAAGGGTTCTACCTGGATCCAAAAAGACAGCTGAAGAACCCATTTAGGTTGTAGATAGCGCCTTTTTTTTCTTCTAAGAGTGTAGGTTCACCTTGGTTAGTTAACGTTAGTTCGTTAAAGTCGTCTAACGTTAGTGAAGAGACCCAGGTTACCCAGCTTGCATTTCAGGGTGAGCAAGAGCACCACAAATCAACCAATGAGAGGAAAGATAGAAGTAAACATCCATAAGAAGAGCAGACTGAGAGATCAGATCAGACAGAGACTATGGAGGAAGGGGAAGACATTCCGAGGGAAGGGAGAAATGCAGATGTGGCGTCATCGCCTGCAAGACACCATCACCATGGCAACAAAAACGCAACGT